CAGGGATCGAACCCGAGTCTCCCGCGTTGGCAGGTAGACTCTTTGCCACTGAACCACCAGGGAAGTCCTGGGGAGTATTTCTTCAACAGTCACTGTTTGGTGTTGCTCTGGACGTCCTGTAAGAACTAGGAAAAGGAAAAAGGAGGAGCAAAAGAAAAATAAACACTTGCGGGGAGTAAAATAAAGAGTAACAGCAAGTACAATAGTAACTTAGAGATAAGTCGACTTAGTGTAAGTAAACTTAGGCTTATACACACACACACACACACCAGAATCAACAGGTCAGGGACAATGAATAAATAGTTCAATCTGTTTATTACCAACTGGCTGGTGGGAGATGTCACCAAAGTGAACATAGAGCTCCTTACATGATTCTGATCTCAGAGACACGCTGTTGTGTGTACACACCTGCTAGGAAACCAACCAGCATGAAGACTAATGGTGCTGAACACGCGCTTGGAATAAAATGCAGCAAATCCAGAAATGAACAAGTGAAGGACCACAGTGAAACCAAACCACACCCCCCAAAATGGGGGGAAATTACTCTTCTGAATACCTTTGGGTCAAAGGAAGAAATAAAAGCAGCCTGGTCAGAGATGTGAAGCCTGGACACAGAAGCTTCGAGAGGTGGCCCAGGACACCAAGCGCTTTCCCGTGGAGTGATGACGTGGTCACCTCACAGGAGGTGCTGCTGCCTAGGGAGGTCTTGGTGGAGGCAACACTGCGGGACCACCCAGAGATGGTACAGACCACTTGGGTGGGTGTCCTGTGCAGAGAGGTGTGTGGAATCCAAGGAAGAGTGGCTTGGGGGCTGCACAAATCCCAGCATTCCTGTCGGAGGACATCTGCGGAACAGCTGACCAAAGGACACATTTCTACCAGCTTGTTGCCAAACGGAGGAAACCAAGAAGAGGGAGTAAGAAGCAGCTCACGGGCCACGTGCTCTAAATGAGCCGGTCTCGGAGCACCGAGATCCAGATGGGGCAACTGGTCTTCCTGTTTATCATGACCCTGAGAGCTGGCCAGGCGTCAGAAAGGAGTGAAAAGAGAAAGTCAACAGGACTACTAGAAGAAATAAATAAAAGTATTATTATTTTTATTATTATTAACCACTGATGTGATGATCTGCCTAGAAAATTCAATAGAATCAATTAGAAGAAAGCCTGCTAAGACTCATAAAAAATTCAAATAATATAACTGGATGCATGATATAGACACTGTATAATCATGGGTAGCTTTCTCACACACTGCACACCAGTAATAACTAATTGACAAATGTGATAGCAGGGACCAGCAAATTATGGCGTGTGGACTAAATGTATCCCACTGCCTGTTTTTAGAAATAAATTTTAATTTGAACACAGTGGCTCTCATTTATTTATGCACCTATGGATGCCTTTGCACTAAGTGCAGAGTTAAACTAGTTATGACAGGGGCTGAATGGCCCATAAGCCCTAAAACATTCACTATTTGGCCCTTCAGAGAAAAAGCTTGCTGATCCTGGCAACAGGAATAAAACCATTCACCAATAGGAATAAAACCACTTACCATTCACCATAGCCATAAAAACCATTAAATGCCTAGAAATGAAACTTACTAATCATGGGCAATATATATAAAAGAAAATTAGGAGGTTCTGCTTTTAGTAGTGGATGAGTAGTTCATAGACAACTCACCTTCTTGGACATGATAACTATAAACTTTGGCCAAAATATACATTTTTACAGAACTACCTGAAGCCTTTAAAAAGTGATGAAAAGTGAAGATTTGGAAGGAAAATCTTCACTTGGAAAAAGAGATAACAGTCAGAGAGATTCCTCTACTTACAGCTGTTAGTCCGAAGCCACAAGCCCATCAGCAAAATACAGCTAAAACTCAATAAAGAAAAAAAATCACATCTTACTTGTTTGAAGAACAAGGAGACAAATCTGGGGTGACCACAGCAGCTGGAAACTACAAGGGAAAATGCCAGAAATGAGAGAGCCAGAAAGAAGGAGCCCTGAATTCCGTGTGTAACCTCAGCCCGCGTCTTTGGCTGATCTGTGAACAGGTCGTGTGTAGGGTAGACGTCACGCCACCAAGCTGACTCTAGAAGAGTAATCAAAGAATTGAGCTGCGGCCCACCCACCACAGAGGAGAGAGCCGGAAATTTGGAGACACCCAAGTTCCTACCTCCTACAACAAAAGAGTTAACCTTTTGCTAAGGACTCTAAAAGAAACTCACTCCACAATAAATGATCACAATGTCTAGGAGACAATGAAGAATGAGTAGACACATGATGAAACAGGAGATGTATCTTCCTGAGTGGATGGGTGGATGAGGCATGAATAGACAGATGGATGACATATGTGAATGGTACAATCACAGTACACAGCAAAATGTTAATGGTAGTATTTAGGCGATAGGTATGTGAATATTCACTGTACAATTTCTTACAATTTTTTGTATGCTTAAAATTTTTCAAAATAAAATGTTGAGAAAAACAGATTTTAAAAACCTTGAAGTCTTTAAAGATTTTTAAATCTTTAAAAAAAGATTTGGAAGACATTTATGGGGGAGACCTACAAAATCATTGAAAGATATTAAAGAAGACCTAAATTAATGGAGAGATTTGTTCTTAGTTTGGGATATCCCAATTATTGAAAAGATATCAAATATCTTCAACATAATTCTGATTTTTAAAAAAACCCAGAAGGCTCCTTTGTACAATTTGACAAAAGAGTTTAAAATTTAGATGGTAATGCAACAGGCCAAGAGCAGCCAAGATATTCTTGAGAAACCAGGTGGGAAGACTTGCCCAATCTACCTATAAACCTAGGGTGACTAAGATGATGTGTTTTTGACATAAGGATAGGCAAACAGACCAATGACACACAGACTAGAGAGCCCCCCAAAAACCCAGGCACATACGCACACTTGATATCATGTGACTAATGATACTGCGAATCAGTAGGGAAGAGAGCTTTTCAGTAAGTGGTGTTCAGATAACGATTACCCAGAGGAAGAAAAGTTAAAATGGGCCCTTACATTAAGATCACACACAAGTTAATTCCAGTAAGGACCTACGTCTTTAATCTTAGGTCTTCCCTGGTGGCCCAGCTGGTAAAGAGTCCGCCTGCAAAATGCGGGAGACCTGGGTTCGATCCCTGGGTTGGGAAGATCCCCTGGAGAAGGGAAAGGCCACCCACGCCAGCATTCTGGCCTGGAGAATCCATCACGGGTTCGCAAAGAGTCAGACACTGAGTGACTTTCACTTTCCCTTTCAAAGACCTAAGTATGAGGCAAGAACATAAAAGCTTTTGGAGAATAACTAGAAGGCTATTTGGATGATTTCAAAGCAGGGGATGATTTCTCAAATTTACCTACATTAAAAGAGTTGAAATGGCAACCTAAACATTGGAAGAAGCTATTTTTAACATGTGTTTACTAAAAGTGCTAACATCCAAAATACTAACAGACACCTACAGATCAGTAAGAAAAAGACAGACAGCCCAAAGTGACAAGCTACCAATACAAGCAAACCAAACCCGGAGGTGTTTTCAGGCTGGGCCTCTCTCACTGTCAGACAACATGGTGAACTAGGCTTTCAGGAGTCCCTGACATTTAGGGAATTCCCCGGTGGTCCCGAAGTTAGGACTCCAGACTCTCACTGCCAAGGAATTGGAGTCAAGCCCTGATGGGGAGCTAAGATCCTGCAAGCAGCAAAGTACAGCACTGCCCACCCCGCCAAAAAAAAATTAGTTAAAAAAAGAAAAAGAAGAGTTGTTCTGCTCAAGGGTTGTGTGGCGGCCTGGATGAGAGGAGGTCTGAGGGGGGAATGGACACATGTGTGTGCACCGCCGAGTCCCTTCCTTTTCACCTGAAACTACAACGTCGCTACTCTGCTAGACCCCAAACAAAATAAAAATTTTAAATAAAGTTGGGGGGGGGTAAAGAAACTGCAAAACAAAGAGTTCCTTAAATTTATGCATTCACTTTTAATTTAATTTTTAAATTAATTTTTTAAATTTATTGATTTATTTTTGACTGCACTGGGTCTTCCTTGTGGCACACAGACTCTTCCTTGCGGCACGTGGTCTTTGGCTCTTTCTCTAGTTGCAGCAAGTAGGGGCTACTCCTTTAGGTGGCTTGCTCTAGCTGGCTCTAGAGCGCCAGCTCAGTAGTCGTGGCCCCACAAACATGTGGGAGAGATCTTAGCTTCTGGATCAGGGATCCAACTTGTGTCCGCAGCATTGGCAGGCAGCCTCTTAACCACTGGATGGGTACCAAGGAAGTCCCTTCCTTAAATTTAAATGTGAACAGTTTGGAAAGTCCCTGGGCATCAGGCACTGAGGTACGTACTGATGGACAGAAAGATGAAGACATCTTGACCTCCACGCTCAGGATCTCACATTATAATGGGCAAGACCAATGGGTAAGGTAGGCAGAAAGGCAGACACAGCCAAAGGAATTCCCTTAGTGCTTTATGCAAATACAGTCGTTTCTGTTGTTGTTTTGTCAGAGGGAGGAGCAATTCCCTTCAACGACTGGAAGAAGAGAGAACCAAAGAAAGTGTCCTAGGAAGCGGACCTTGTCAAGCCTTTGGAGGACGAGTCACGTTGAAAGAGAAGGCGGGATGAGGCGGGAATGAGGACTGCAGGGCTGGCTTTGTCCGCTGAGTGGAGTTCCCTCCAGAAGAGGAAATAAGGCGATGGCATCACCCGCGCCAGCAAACCTTTGGCCAATCCCTTACCAAGACGGTAGAACCGCTGACATGCGCTGCGGCCTGACACCCACGGCCTTCCTCGGCAAGTGCATTCTCATCGGTTCCGAATCTCTGCGTGGTTCTTGGGCACGGCCGTGTAGCGCAGCTTCCGGAGGAAGGGCGGCCTCTGCAGCATCCGCTCGTCCCACAGGTACTCGGGGGACAGCACCTTGCTGGGCTTGTGCGACAGCAGGTACCGGTTCAGGTGGCTCTCGTCATGCCACACGGCCTCGATGCCCTGGGCCTGGTCGGCCGTCATGGCCTGGTGACAGGCCGTGGTGAGCCGGTAAACCTCAGGGACCGACCCCCCGAAAAAGCCTCCGCGTAGTAAAAGTCACCCTCGTCTCTCGGGATGTAGGCTCGGGACAAGGGCCGGCGCTCATAGGTGAAGGACTGGCGGTCGGCTGCGTAGAAACCAGGGTGCAGGGTCCCGAAGAGCGGCGCCAGGATCTCCACGCCCACGTGGTCGCTGAACTTCATGTCCACGTCCAGGCACACCAGGTAATCCACCTCGCGCAGGAAGCGCTGCCGGGAGAAATTGCTGATCATCTCCATCCGGTGCATGGAGATGTCCTGCCAGCGTCTGTAGCTCCCCACGTGTAGGACCACCACCTGCCTCCCGGCCTGGAGGGCGATCTGCGGCACGTCCGCCGGCCGGTCGGTGAAGACGTAGTAGGTGACCTTGTGTCCCACCATGAAGTACTTCTCCGCCGTCTCCAGGAAGAGCCGCAGGAAGACCACGTATCTAAATCCAACAGGAAAGAGAGGGTGGGAGTTAACAGAATCAAACAGCCGGCAGAAGAATCCACTTGGGCAAAAACAGTTTATGAAACCTTAGCCATACCTTGAGGATGTTACCCTAGGTGAAATAAACCAACCACGAAAAGTCAAGTACTCCACGATTCCATTTAGATGAGGTGCCTAGAATAGGCAGCGTCTCAGACACAGAAATAGAATGGCAATTGCCAGACGCTGGGGAAATGGGGAACCTGGAGCCAGTGTTTAGTGCGCACAGAAATTTTAGTTTTGCAAGATGAGAACCGTTCTGGGCAGGGACAGTGGTGATGGCCGTACCACATCTTGAGTCTGTAACACTGCTGAAGTGTACACTTAAAAATAGTTAAGATGGTAAATTTTATATTATGTGCATTTTGTGAGTTATTATGTGAGTTGTGTGTGCTCAGTTGTGTCTTGACTCTTTGCGACCCCATGGACTGTAGCCCACCAGGCTTCTCTGTCCATGGAATTTTCCAGGTGAGAACACTGGAGTGGGTTGCCATTTCCTCTTCTAAGGGATCTTCCCAACCCAGGGATCGAACCCAAGTCTCTTGAGGCTCCTGCTCTTGAGGCTCCATTGATAAGTGGATTCTCTATCACTGCATCACCTGGGAAGCCCTATGTGCATTTTACCAAAATTAAAAATCAGAAACAAAACCATAGCCATTCCACTAGCTAAACATGACAGTACCAGACCCTGACTGGCTAGTGAGAGGAGGGGTTCAGATTACTTGGTGTTGAGCAAATATTCACAACCATAAGATATTTGATTAATCCACAAGTTTCGCAAAAATTCAAATGATTGATAGTATCCAAATGGCGGATGTCTCCCAGCTCAGGACCATCCAATGGCTTCTTGTCTTTTTTTTTAATTGAGATATAGTTGATTTACAATATTATATTAGTTTCAGGAGTACACAATAGTCATTCCAAATTTATATAGATTATACTCCTTTTAAAGGTATTGTAAAATATTGGCTGTAAAATTGGATCATAAAGAAGGCTCAGCACCAAAGAAGAACTGATGCTTTCAAATTGTGGTGCTGGAGAAGATTCTTGAGAGTTCCTTGGACAGCAAGGAGATCAAACCAATCAATCCTAAGGGAAATCAACTCTGAATATTCATTGCAAGGACTGATGCTGAAGCTCCAATACTTTGGCCACCTGATACAAAGAGCAGACTCATTGGAAAAGACCCTGATGCTGGGAACGACTAAAGGCAGGAGGAGAAGGGCATCACTGACTCAATGGACATGAGTTTGAGCAATCTCTAGGAGACAGTGAAGGACAGGGAAGCCTGGTGTGCTGCAGTCCATGGGGTCACAAAGAATTGGGCAAGACTTAGCAACTGAAGAACAACCACCTTCCCTGTGGTGTTCAATATAAATAAAGCAAACAGATGAATATAACACAACAGAGGCAGACTCACAGATTCACACAACAAACGTGCTTCCAATGGGGAGAGTGGCGAGGGGAAGGGCAAAACAGGGGCAGGGGGCTAAGAGCTGCAAACCACTAGGTATAAAATAAATGGCTTCTGAGACTTGCCTGGTGGTCCAGTGGTTAGAAATCCTCCTTCCAAGGAAGGGCCCACGGGTTTGATCCCTGCCTGGGGAGCTAAGATTCCACATGCCAGTCAGCCCAAGCACTCTGAAGCCCACCCACCAAAGCAAGGAGCCTGAGTGCCACAACTAGGACCTGACACAGCCAAACAAATAAATATTTTTCAAAAAATACCATTGGGCTTTTAAAAAATAAATTAAATAAATGGTTTCTTGTCTTAAAAAAAAAAGGCAATTCAAGGTCCTGCAATGGTCTACCAGGCCCCACAAGATCCGCTCTGACTTGTCTTCTTCTCTCTCCTCCATCCTCTGTAGGGCAGGCCAGCTCCTTGATATTCCTGACACATGCCATGCATCCTCCCCCAGGCCTCTGCACCTTCTTCTGCCTGGAGTCCGTCCCCTGCAGTGTCCACCCTAGAGGGGCATTCCATCCTGTGACTAATGCCCAGACTGGACGCGGCCCCGGGCTCCTTCTGCTGGCACTTACACCAGCACAAGGGTAAAACTCCAGCAGGCTGTGCCCTTGAACATGCCCGTCTGACCATGTGCAAATTCTAGCTCAGTGAAAAGGAGCAACGGTGGACTATTACTCAGCCATAAAAAGGAATGCATTTGAGTCAGTTCTAATGAGGTGGAGGAACCTAGAGCCTATTATACAGAGTGAAGCAAGTCAGAAAGAGAAAGATAATATCGTGTTCTAACGCATATATACAGAATCTAGAAAAATGGTACTGAAGAATTTATTTACAGGACAGCAGTAGAGAAACAGACATAGAAAATAGACTTATGGACATGGGGAGAGGGGAGGAGAGGGTGAGATGTGTGGAAAGAGTAACCTGGAAACTTACATTACTATATGGAAAACAGAGAGCCAATGGGAATTTGCTGTATGGCTCAGGAAACTCAAACAGGGGCTCTGTGTCAACCTAGAGGGGTGGCGAGGGGAGGGAGACGGGAGGGAGGTTCAAAAGGGAAGGGACAGATGTATACCTACGGCTGATTCATGTTGAGGTTGGACAGAAAACAACAAAATTCTGTAAAGCAATTATCCTTCAAGTAAAAAATAAATAAAAATAAAATAAAAAGGAGCAAATAAACATGAAAACAGATTACTCTCTATCCCCTTGCCCAAACTCAGTTATTTTTTAGAGCTCATATTGTCATCTGACATATTTTTTTTACACTCATACAATCTTTTTTAAAATATGTATGTATATGGTTGCTCCAGGTCTTAGATGCAGCACACAGGATATTCACCACCTCATACTGGATCTTAGTTGCAGCACATGGGAAAATCGAATATTGACACACAGAAGAATGAAAACAGACCCCTGTTTTACACTACTTAGAAAGATTAACTTGAAATGGATTGAAGACTGACATGTAAGACCGAGACCATAAGATACTTAGTAGAAAACAGTGGGGAAGCTCTTGCACGTTGATCTTTGCAGTGACTTATTGGACATGACACGTGAACCACAAGTAACAAAAAATAAACGAGTGCCGATACATCAAACTGGAAAGCTTCTGCAGAGGAAGAGAAACGATCAACAGAATGAAAAGCTGACCTACAAGATGGGAGAAGATAGCTGCACGCAGCTGGCCTCCCAGGGTGACAGACTGGGGCAGCGGGGCACCAGGGTCTGCGCTGTGGTGGGGTTGAGCCCCTGGCACAGTGGCTGGTACTGGAAGTGGTGAAGTGAGCTGCCCATCTCTAAAAGGTTGACAGTGACCTCTGGGGTGATGACTCTCAGCTGTGGGACTGCTATTTTGAGCAGGCATTCCCAGGCAGCGCCAGTGGTAAAGAACCTGCCTGCCGATGCAGGACAAATAAGAGACAGGGGTTTGATCCCTGGGTCAGGAAGATCTCCTGGAGGAGGAAATGGCAACCCACTCCAGTATTCTTGCCTGGAGAATCCCATGGACAGAGGAGCCTGGCAGGCTACCGTCCAGAGGGTCAGAAAGAGTCGGGCACAACTGAAGTGACTTAGCTCACATGTACACATGTCACTGTGCTATCACGGTGCATATATATAGATATATATGACTGCCTAATGACCCCTGCACAACCCAACCCACATTCACCTACACCCAAAGTCACCCGTGCCTCTGCACCCCCCACCCACCCTGTGAGCTGAGCACCTTGTCCTGGAAAACAGAGAGAAGTGCTACCCTGCAGCTCAGGCCAGCTCCCTGGATCACCCTGGGTGAGCGTCCATCACTTACTTTTTAATGGCAAACACAGTCAGCCCAATGGTGGTGTCTCTGAATTGCGCATCCAAGATGGCAGAGTCGAAGGTCCCGTCCCAGATGATGGGAGCAAACCAGGGGGTCATGACCAGTACGTCCACTCTCCTGGGGAGGGGAGTCACAGCACGTGAGAGCAGGTCATAGGGGTGTGGGCCACAGAGGAGGATTTGTCCAAAGCTGCACAGTCCGTGAGCTGCAGAGCTAGGAGCAGACAGGACTCGGGACTCCCAGCCCAGTGCTTTTGGCAGCATAAGCTCAGCACCCAGCACTCAACACTTCCACCCTTCACTGCCCTCACTCAGAGTACCTCCTGAGTCCCAGCCATGGGCTAGATCCCCTGAGACATCCTTTTATGAGGCCGTCTGTTTGCAGGAGGAGCACAGTCTCGAGGGAGGGCAAGCGCTAAGCCCTCCCTCAGCACGCGGGAGCTTTGCCGTAACAAGAAATAGACATTTGGTCTCTGGCACAGCCCTCCCTTTACCTGGCACTAGGCTTCTAGGACCCTTGGGAGGTCCTGGATTGTAGGAGCATCTTTTGTTCTGATGAGGTGACTCTGGGTGGGCTTGCGGGTAGTTCAGGATGGGGGCTGGTCACCAGAAAGACCAAGCCAGGATTAGAAACTTGGAACTTAGAACTTTCTGCCTCACATCCCTTCCTCCTGGGAAGGCAGTGGGGCTGAAGGTCAAGTTAACAATCAATCACGCCAGGGAGATGAAGCCTCCATAAATATCCCTTCACTGTGGGGTTCGGAGTGCTTCCGGGTTGGTGAACACAGGGAGGTACTGGGAGGGAGGTGCTTGGGCGCTCCGTCCCTTGCCCACCCTGCCCTATTTACCTCTTCATCTGACTGTCCCTGAGCTGCATCCTTTATAACAAGCCAAGGATCTAGTAAGTGAACTGTCTTCTTGAGTTCTGGGAGCATCCCAGCAAACCATCACACCCAAGGAGCGGGTGGCGAGAAATGATTTACAGCCCGTCGGTCAGAAGCACAGATGACAACCTGGAAACTGCGACAAGGGTCTGAGTAGGGGCAGGCTGCGGAGCTGACCGTCCACCTGTGGCGTCTGTGCTGACTGTAGGGAGTGTCAGAATCACCTGGTGTGGATAACCCACACGCTTGCTGTGAGTAGACAGAACGAGGTTTGCTTTCAGAGACAGAGCTGAGTTTCAAGCCCCTCCCCTCACAGGGGCTCTTTGTGTCCTGTGATCTCTGCCCCTTCTCCATTCTCCAGCCGGCACGGACCCCTCTGACCTCCCCCGACTCTTATTTCACGAGTGTTCATTCACTCGTTCATCACCCTGCCAGGACCCACCAAAAAAGTTCATGCCAACCTGCCCCTCCAGATGTGTGCTGACCCCTGGAAATGTGTGCCACTAAAAATTGTCTGGGAGTCACAGAAAAGTAAAAGGAACCAGGCAAAATGACTGTTAATATGATAGACTTGGTTCAACTCAACGTATCCAAAATATTATCATTTCAGTATGTAATTGATGTATTTATTGAAGTATAGTCAACTGACAATGCTCTGTTAGTTTCAAGTGTACAACAAAGTGGTTCAGTTACACATCTACACACATATATTCTTTTTCAAGTTCTTTTCCCATATAGGATATTACAAGATATTGAGTAGAGTCCCTGGGCTATTCAGTGGGTCCTTGTTGTTTATCTGTTTTATATACAGTAGTGTGTCTATGTTAATCCCAAGCTCCTAGCACACTTTTCATGTACTAAGTGTTTGGCGTCCACGGTGCACCTCACACTGACAGCACAACTCATTCTAGAGCGGTCCTGTTTCAAGTGTTGAAGGCCACACATGGCTGGCAGCTCTGGAAATTCAAGGAGGCGTGTATGCGGGTTTCAGAAATGACAGTGAGCACCTCCAGGTCCCCTGGCAGGGACGTGGCAGGATGTGACAGAGGCCACTCAGCTTGTGTCCTGACCTGTCCCTCTGCAGCTGAGGGGCCTCAAGCAACCTCCTTCACTTCTCTGAGCCTCAGTTTCCCTGCCCACAAAACGGGGCTGATCGAAGTGGTCTCTGGGCGACTTCCTGTCCCAAAGCTCGGGGATCCAGTGCCTCACTGACAGGTTGCCAGTACTCTCTCTCGGGCAGTGGAAGCAGGAGGTGTGGGCACAGGCAAGGAGACCCAGATTAGGAGACAGGCACTGGTATGTGGGGGCAAGTTGGGACCATCAGCCCTCAGACATTCATACCCATGGAAAGGCCTCAGGCAGAACCCAGTCCAGACCCCAGCTTCCTTCCCCGAGAAGAAACAAGAGAAGTTTCCATGCCTGGGGTGGACTTCTGCACAGCTCCTGGTGACCACAAATTAGAGGTATCTTCCATCGGCCCTTCAACGTGTACCAAACCCACTGAAAACTAGCCCAGCCTCCCATAGCACAGACAGAAACGAAAGCAAAAGGGCAAAAGAAAGACTGGAACCAGGGAGTGAAGCCAGAGAAAGGCAACCACAGGGTAGGTGGTGGCAGGGAACGCACCAGTCGCAGCCATGGCAGAAACTCGTCTACTTACGAGGGCTTGAGCAGCTGGGCCTTGGGGTAAAGCAACCTGTGGACAAGACATACGTGTGAGCAGACACTCACATCACCAATGCCAGAGCTGCTAGGAGCCTCTTCCTGGTTCAGTGGGCAGCTCTGCCAGGAGGCGGCACTCAGCCACAGGGAATTCCTTCCTTCCATCCTCCCATCTTCCTTCATCCAGCTACTTCCCACCCCCTCCCCCAGCCCATGGATGCCAGGGGCTTCCCCAGGGATAAAGCGACAGATAAACTGATGGGGTAGAAATGCGACGACGGGCTAGGAGGTTCTTCCCCGTCTCATGCTCGGCTGAGGTTAGAGACCCTCCTGTGGTTTGTAAGTCCTCCTTGTGGTCTAACTCGTTATGACGAAGGTCTTCGTGTCCTGCTCTGTTCAGGAGTGGGAAGCACAGGGTGGCCTCTCCCACCCTGTCCACCGGCGGCATCCCGCCTGGAGCCACCTCATCGCCCCCCTCCGCTCTCCTGCTGACTCCTTCACCCTCTATGCCCTCCCTGGCAACCCTGTCAGTTTTCAACAGAGCTGAGAGCTTAGAAGCTACCGCTAGTCTACCCTGGGTGAGACCGCTGAGCTGGGACAGCCGAGACCGAGTGACCTCCCCATCTGACGCCTGCTCCCCCAGCTGCCATCCTCTTCTGCCCCTCGGTACCCTCCTTCCCGCTTCCCTTGCTCCTTCCCTCCTGATAAATCTCACAACCAGGCTCGAAGGGGGTGTGAGGGGGACAGTGGAGCGGGGAGACAGCAAGCTGACTTGCTTGGAAACAGGCCCAAAGACGTGGTCTCCAGTACCTGGGGACTTCAGGTATCCTGCAGGTGTCCAGGCGGCCGTCGCCTTCACTGAGGGAGGAAAACAGGGCGCTCAGAGCTGATGGCACTGGGAGAAGCACTGCTCTGCGGCCCGGCCGGGGTCCTGAGGGCCACCCCGTTACAGCCCCCACTGAGGAGAGCTCCCCGTGCCTGCTGAGCTCGGCCGTGTGGCCAGGTGAGGCGACCGGGGGCGGGAAGCTGGGCGAAGACACCTCGGACACGACGGCCGGCCGCGTCTGGGCGCCTGGTGCCCAGTCTGCCCGAAGCGACGCCACAGCCGAGGGCGACAAACCAGCCTGGGGAGAGCCCCGCTCCGGGGGGGAGGAGCCATGGACGCCCAGGCCGGCCCTGCGATCCGAAGGGAAGCTCTGGCAGCGGCCCCCTCAGCCCTGGGAGCCCAGCTGCCGCCCTACCTGGGCTCCTTCTCCAGCAGCGTCCTCTGCAGAGCCACGCCGTTTTCATCCTGGCTGCTGAGGGGACAGGCTCCCAGTCACTTCAGGAAAAAGGAGCGCCTTGCTAACTAAGCGCCCCTTTAAGAGGGGAGGGGGCTAACTCGGCAAAGACTAGGATTGCGTCCACTTCCCACAGCCCGGCCCTTTCTGCCAGCCCCGCCCTCTTCACCAGCCCCGCCCTCTCCACCAGCCCCGCCCTCTCCACCAGCCCCACCCCCTTCACCAGCCCCGCCCCTCACACCAGCCCCGCCCCTCACACCAGCCCCGCCCCTCACACCAGCCCCGCCCTCTCCACCAGCCCCACCCCCTTCACCAGCCCCGCCCCTCACACCAGCCACGCCCCTCACACCAGCCCCGCCCTCTCCACCAGCCCCACCCCCTTCACCAGCCCCGCCCCTCACACCAGCCCCGCCCTCTCCACCAGCCCCACCCCTCACACCAGCCCCGCCCTCTCCACCAGCCCCGCCCCTCACACCAGCCCCGCCCTCTCCACCAGCCCCGCCCCTCACACCAGCCCCGCCCCTTCACCAGCCCCGCCCTCTCCACCAGCCCCGCCCCTTCCCACCAGGCCTGTCCCCTCCCCACCAATGAAGCTCGGAGGGGCCTGGCCGGCCCAGTCCAGAAGACCAAGCAAAGTCTCCAGCTGCTGGCAAGGCTCAGGAATGCCAACTTTTGTGGATAAAAAGGAGGTGAAAGTCATTACCTCAAAGGCAGGCTCTCCCGTTGGCCCTGCAGGTGGTGGGCCTCAGGGCTGCTGAGACATAAAAGCCCGGTCAGCTCACCCCATTCATCCACCCTTCTACCCAGCAAGCATTTGCTGGGCCCCAAGCTTCCTGAACAGGGCAGGAAGCTGGGCCGGACTTGACTTCGAGGTCCTGCCTTGCGGGCTCCTTCAGGAGGCTGGTCAGGAGAGCTCACCTTATCTGTGCTCGGTCAGCCAGCTCACCTTATCTGTGCTCGGTCAGCCAGAGACTGACGACTGCGGAAGAATTAGCTCTGGGAGGAAAAATGAGCCTTTTCCCTTCTGGGTGCTAATGGGGTCAGAGGGCACTCTGTCACGGACTGGCCGCTGGGGATGGCTTTACATGGAATCAACACTGGTCATTGGACTATAAAGAAAGCTGAGCACTGAAGAATTGATGCTTTTGAACTGTGGTGTTGGAGAAGACTCTTCAGAGTCCCTTGGACTGCAAGGAGATCCAACCAGTCCATCCTAAAGGAAATCAGTCCTGACTATTCATTGGAAGGACTGATGCTGAAACTGAAACTCCAATACTTTGGCCACCTGATTCGAAGAACTGACTCACTAGAAAAGACCCTGATGCTGGGAAAGATTGAGGGCAGGAGGAGAAGGGGATGACAGAGGATGAGATGGTTGGATGGCATCACCGACTCAATGGACATGGGTTTGGGTAGACTCTGGCAGTTGGTGATGGACAGGAAGGCCTGGCGTGCTGCAGTCCATGGGGTTGCAAAGAGTCTTACATGACTGAACAACTGAACTGAACTGAATGCTGGTCACTATTCATCCCCAAACCAAGGCCTGGAGCTGCCGCCAGCCATAAGGGGTCCTCTCCAACAGAAAACAGGATTCTGTCTTTGTAGTTTTTTAGGTTTGAGAAAACATGGTAGAGAGAGGAACTCGGAATCAGCCAGGAACTGAGTGCCTCTTTCATTATAAGGACCTCCAATTCACTGCACATTCTATTTTTATTTCTGTTCTAGATCTTTCTAGAAGGAACCACCTTGACTCCAAAGACCCATCCATTACCTTTGAGAGTCTTCTGTCTGTCTTCTGGGGATCAGGCTGAACACGTTGCTGGGGGGACAAAAGAATGTGGAGTTGAGTCCTCACCAGACAGAGGAGAGAAGACAGGGTGGTTTCAAGGCTGAGACTTCAACACAGCATTCTGATCGTTTGGTCTCTGGCTCCTGAGAAAATAGATGTGGGGCCCGAGCGGAGCCAGTGGGACATCTCACAGGGGTGGAAGGAGAGAATGGGGTGCACAGGCAGATCCCCCTGGTGGTGCCCTAATCCTCCCTTCCCCCATTCCACACTATTTTAACCCCATGTCATCACCCTAACTAATAACTTGAAAAATATCAACAACCTCAGATATACAGATGAGACCTCCCTTATGGCAGAAAGCAAAGAACTAAAGAGCCTCTTGATGAAAGTGAAAGAGAAGAGTGAAAAAGCTGGCTTAAAACTCAACATTCATAAAATGAAGATCATGGCATCTGGCCCCATCACTTCATGGCAAGTTGATGGGGAAACAATGGAAACAGTGAGAGACTTTTGTTGGGCTCTAAAATCACTGCAGATGGTGACTGCAGCCATGAAATTAAAAGATGCTTGCTCCTTGGAAGAAAAGCTGTGACAAACCTAGACAGCATATTCAAAAGCAGAGACATTACTTTGCTAATGAAGGTCCGTCTACTCAAAGCTATGGTTTTTTCCAATAGTTGGGTATGGATGTGAGAGTTGGACCATAAAGAAAGCTAAGTGCTGAAGAATGGATGCTTTTGAACTGTGGTGTTGGAGAAGAATTTTGAGAGTCCCTTGGACTGCAAGGAGACCGAACCAGTCCATCCTAAAGGAAATCAGTCCCGAATATTCTTTGGAAGGACTGATGCTGAAGCTGAAGCTCCAATACTTTGGCCACCTGATGCAAAGAACTGACTCATTTGAAAAGACCCTGATGCTGGGAAAGATTGAAGGTGGGAGGAGAAGGGGACGACAGGATGAGATGGCTGGATGGCATCACCGACTCGATAGACTTGAGTTTGAGCAAGCTCCAGGAGTTGGTGATGGACAGGGAAGCCTGGCGTGCTGCAGTCCATGGGGTTGCAAAGAGTTGAACACAACTGAGTGACTGAACTGAACTGAATAGCTTGTAAGTGCTCATGGCCTTGCTCTCTGTGGATAGGGGACCCCAGCATTAGATTCATCTGGGGAATTGTTTTTAGAGGCAAATCCAGACTTCCTGAATCCAGACCTGAGCAGTTAGGAGGGGTGTGTGTGTGTGTGTGTGTGTGTGTGGCGGGGGTGTGTATGTGTAGCAATCTCCATTTTTAACAGGTTCTCTAAGTGATCTGCATACACCCTAAAGTTTAGAGCCAGCCTCCTTTCTGTTTTACAGCAACCCTGCCACATAGAGCGCCACGCAGCATGTGGGGACCTTAGTTCCTTAACCAGGGATTGAACCTGCGGCCCTTGCATTGGAAGTCTGGAGTCTTAACCACCGGAGGGCCAGGGATATCCCTGGGAGCTTTTGAAGCTTGCTGGAAAGTGTTCATATTCAAACCAGGATTGAATTTTAAATTATATGCAAACAAAAAATGTGAAAATTCTACATCCATAAAAAATTATGAAAGGAATCTCTGAGGCAAAGTCCAATCTTTTAAAAACTTTGCTCTAGAAGAAAACTTATTTCAGAAGTCAGATGACTCTTTTCAGTCACTCAGTTGTGTCCGACTCTGCGACCCCATGGACTGCAGCGTGTCAGGCCTCCCATCCATCACCAATTCTTGGAGTTTACTCAAACTCATGTCCATTGAATTGGTGATGCCATCCAACCATCTCATCCTCTGTCATCCCTTTCTCCTCCTGCCTTCAATCTTTCCCAGCATCAGGGTCTTTTCTAGTGAGTCAGTTCTTCGAATCAGGTGGCCAAAGTATTGGAGTTTCAGTTTCAGCATCAGTCCTTCCAATGAATAGTCAGGACTGATTTCCTTTAGGATGGACTGGTTGGATCTCCTTGCAGTCCAAGGGACTCTGAAGAGTCTTCTCCAACACCACAGTTCAAGATGACTCTTTTGGATGTCAATGTTTATCAGGTTTGTTTTTTCTTTTTTAAAAATAAAAGACAAGATAAAACCTGCCAAAAATGAGGGGGTGGGAGAAGATGAAATGAAATCTAAACACAAGATGAGCTTCTCTGATGACTCAGCAGGCAAAGAATCCGCCTGCAATGCAGGAGACACAGGAGACTTGGGTGTGATCCCTCCCCTGGAGGAGGAAATGGCAACCCACTCCACTACTCTTGCCTGGGAAATCCCACGGACAGAAGAGCCTGACAGTCTACAGTCCATGGGTTGCAAAGAGTCAGACACGACTGAAAACAAACACAAATAATATAGAAGAGGAGGCTGCTAGATGAAGAATCCAAAAAGGCTGTATAAAGATAAAGAGGAGCAGTCAGGGACTTCTGTGGCAGTCCAGTGGTTAGGACACGGAGCTTACACTAAAAGGACTTGAGTTCAATCCCTTGTTGGGGAAAAAAGATCCTGTGTGCTGCACAGTTTGGCCAAAAACAACAACAAAAAAGAGAGGTCAGACCCCAGACTCAACAGGCTGCCAGACCTGGGCACTTTATGGTAATAGGGGGAGTCCAGTGGGAATGAGCTGTTTCAGACCTGAGTCACAGCGGGAAGCTGCAAGACATGGCCACGGGTGTCTCCAGACTCTTGAAGGCACGACCCGGAATGTGCCACACGGCTCTCCCAGAATCATCTCCCTGGGGTCCTTGTGTTATAAGGAAGACTATTTTTATGCAATTCCAGCACTTGTTCTCGATGGGGAAACAGTGGCTGACTTTATTTTTGGGGGCTTCAAAATCATTGCAGATGGTGATTGCAGCCATGAAATTAAAAGACGCTTATTCCTTGGAAGAAAAGTTATGACCAACCTAAACAGCATATTAAAAAGCAGAGACATTACTTTGCCAACAAAGGTCCATCTAGTCAAGGCTATGGTTTTCCCAGTAGTCATGTATGGATGTGAGTTGGACTATAAAGAAAGCTGAGTGCTGAAGAATTGATGCTTTTGAACTGTGGTGTTGGAGAAGACTCTTGAGAGTCCCTTGGACTGCAAGAAGATCCAACCAGTCCATCTGAAAGGAAATCAGTCCTGAATATTCGTTTGAAGGACTGATGTTGAAGCTGAAACTCCAATATTTTGGCCACCTGATGCAACAGCTGACTCATTTGAAAAGACCCTGATGTTGGGAAAGATTGAAGGCAGAAGGAGGAGGGGACGACATAGGATGAGATGATTGGATGGCATCCCCGACTCAATGGACATGAGTTTGGGTGAACTCCAGGAGTTGGTGATGGACAGGGAGGCCTGGCATGCTGCAGTTCGTGGGGTTGCAGAGAGTCGGACACGACTGAGCGACTGAACTGAGTGCTTGTTCTAAGAATCAGATATAGGGACAGGCTGCTTGCAGAGAACTGAGTGCTCCTGCTGAGGGAAGATCAGATGGAGACTTGGTCACCTGCCAGTCATGATGTGGGACCAGCACGGCCCCGAGATCCACAGCATGACAGAGGCAGCTCTGAGACAGAGATGGGTGCCCAGGAGGGCGCTGCAGCAATTCAGGAGGGGCCCTGTGCATGCCAACAGCCCGCACGCAAGGAATGTCGCACTGTTCCCGACCCTGCACCAGATGTGTATGTGATGAGCTTGTTTTGTTGCTCAGACAAGACTTGCTCCAGGAAGCCCCAGTAAGTCCAATGCTGGCAGACCAAGGGGGAGTGGGCTCCCTCCCAGGAGCGCCAGGAAATCCTGTACCCACTCCTGTGACAGCTGGTCACCCATAACTGCCTGGCACCTGTCTACTCCTCCTAACAGACCTGACATCCTTCAGAACGGGGAGCCATCCCACCGACACTGGCATCCCAGTGCCCTCCAAACCACCAGGCTCAAAGCAGGTGCTCAGTGAACGCTCACAGAGGCGAACGTGTGGGCGTGTCCCACTGCGTGTGCGCTCCGTTTTCCAAAGCCTGCAATGCCGAGGCCATCAGCCCTGAGACGGGATGCTCATCCTAGAGGACACTTTCCCTGAGGGACCTGGAGACCCTGGCTTGGAGTCTTGGGGAGGGGCTGGCACCCTGGCCTTGCCACTTCTTACCTTATGACCTTGGTCTCATTCCTTCACCTCTGGAGCCTCCTTTCCTGGGGTATAAACTGGGAATAGTAATGCCTGTCTTGGGCTTTCCTGGTGGCTAAGTGGTAAAGAATCCGCCTGCCAATGCAGGAGACTCGGGTTTGATCCCTGGGTCAGGAAGATCCCCTGGAGAAGGGAATGGCAACCCACTCCAATATTCTTGCCTGGGAAATCCCATGGAATGGGGAGGCTGGTGGGCTACAGTCCATGGGGTCACAAAGGCGTTGGGCATGACTGACTAAACAACAACAATAATGATTATCTTACAGGTTGGGGAGAGAGTCTAGAACACCCACCATGTGTTCCCCTCAAGGCATCACACAGAATACATACCCCACAAATGGAGACTCTTTCTAACACATTTCTTTGCAAAAGTCATCAGTGACAAAGTGTATAGCTCTAACAACTAACAACTAAATACATATGCAATCTGCAGTCTGAAATAGTAAATAAACATTTGGCACCCACCGCACAACTGAGTCTAGGGTTAATTGCACCCTCTTGTGGAATAAGAACTGGAGAACTGAGAGAGTATGACTAGCTTCTTTGAAGGGAATACAGTTTTGCAGCTGCCAGGTTTGTTTTAAAACATAAAAGAGCGTATTACAATGCAGTGAAACGGTGTCATCTCTTCTCCATAAATCTATGCAAATTGCGATGCGAGCCCCATGCACGCCTGTGTGCTCAGTCACTCAGTTGTGTCCGGCTCTTTGTGATCACGTGGACTGCAGCCCTCCAGGCTCCTCTGCCCATGGGGTTCTCCAGGCAAGAGTACTGGAGTGGCTTGCCATGCCCTCCTCCAGCGGATCTTCCCAACCCAGGGGTCGAAACTGCATTTCTCACGTCTCCTGCTTTGGGAGGCAGGTTCTATACCATGAGTGCCACTGGGGAAGCCCTGTGAGCCCCGTATGTGGATGTAATTGGTGTTTCTAAAAAGCCATAAGCACTGCCTTCTGAAGCCCTCCCCATCCACAGTCATGCTTACACTCACCTCCCGGATGAGCCCGTCACCCAGTTATAGTAACACCTGTAAATCCCCGGGGAGCAGGGCAAGGTGCTGGCGGGGAGCCGGCGTCTCAGCGCTGCCCCGACGAGATCAGCACAGTGGGAACTCTGACGTCATCACAGCTGCTCTGGTCACTCGGGTCATACGTCCCCACCTTCGCAGGGCCTGGGCCGTCCCCCCCTCCTTACCTGTAGAAGCCCAGAAGCGCGGCGAAGAGCAGGATCAGACCCAGCCAGGACTTGGTGCTCTTCCCCCGGGTCTCTGTGAAGGGGAGGCCTGGGTCACCTGGCGCCTGTTGAGGCCGAAGTCGGGCACTGGCCGGGGACGGCCTCTCCCTCCTTCCCGCCCGCAGGGAAGGTGGGCTGGACCCTCTCCTGGAGCCGTAATCCCACTGAGCCTCGCCCTGCAGCCCCTGGGCACCTGCCCGGGCGCCCCTGCTCATTGGTAGGCCCCAGGGGGCCGGGACCACTGGCACTCTCCGGAGAAGCGGGTGCAATGGCATGCACTGCCCAGCAGGGTGTGTGACGAGACTCAGGACTGTGAGGGACAAAGGTCGCGCGTCCCCAGCCTCCTAAACACCCGAACCCCCCGGTGCGGTAGGAGCGCGCACCAGGGTTACCTGCAACAGAAACAGTCAGGCCTGGGAGACCCTGCAAGGACGCTGCACTCCAGGGAACTGCACGTCTGAAGGAAGTTGCCTCACATGTGCTGATAAAACCTTGGCTGGAGGCTGTGGGTTTAGCAAGCCCCACGCTGGCGTGCTGCAGTCCATGGGGTTGCAAAGAGTCGGACACAACTGTGTGACTGAACCACAGCATCCTGAATAAGCCCCCACTCACAGCCACCACACTGCTGGGTCTCAGAGGCCCAAGTCTCATGTTGCAGCGGCCTGAGGGGCTCCCAAGTGTTGGACTAAGAAAACTATGTACATTGGGTGCAGTCCAGAAACATTCACCAAAGAACTGCATTTGGTCAAGGATAGACACCTCTGTTTCCTTTGACTAGGTATGAAGATGAAAATGGTATGAAGATGAAAATTCTAGTCACACACATATAGCTAAGACACGGAAGCAACCTAAATGACCATCAAGAGATGAGTGGAAAAAGAAGGTGTGGTGTGTAAAAATCAATATATACAGTGGAGCGTTACTCAACCATAAAAAGGAGTGAAGTAATGCCACTTGCCGCAACGTGGATACCTAGAGATTATGATACTAAGTGAAGTAAGCTGGACAGAAAAAGACAAATATCATACGGTATCACTTATATGTGGAATCTTAAAAAAAAAAGGTACAAATGAGTAGAAATAGATCCACAGACAGAAAACAAGCTGATGGTTATCAAAAGGAAAAAGGGGAGAGAGGGATAAATTAGGAGTTTGGGATTAACATATATACACTATTATATATAAGATAGATAACCAACAAGAACTGGTTGTATAGCACAGAGAGATTTACTCAATATTATATAATAACCGATAAGGAAAAGGAATCTGAAAAAGAATATATATATATGTATATATATAAAATACCGAATCACTTTCCTATACAGCTGAAGCAGCACAATATTGTAAATCAACTATATGTCAATAAAAAAATGAAAATTAAAAAGAAAACAAAAACGAGCTTATACAAGTTTACAATGAATTTGGTAACACTGTATTATATAATTTTGTATAAACTTTATGTGTCCCACATTTTAAATGCTTAAGGGAACTTGATATGCCCAATTTGGGTTTGATTTAATGGATGGACAAGATTATCAAGTGGATAGGAACATTTTGTTGTACTTGAGAGTCTTTTGTTCCGTCTTGTGTGTCTGAGAGAACTAGATTAATTCAGCTTACAGTCATAGTTTAAAACAAATCATGTTGCGTGGAAAAATCCAGATAGAAGCAAGTACTTCCTGGAAGATTCCACTTATATATGATTCTAGGAAATGCAAATCGATCTGTAGTGCCAGAAACCAGAACAGCGGTTGCCTGGGGATGGTGGTGGGGAGAGCAAGGCAGAGAGAAGTTGCAAATGGGCACAGGACTCTTTGGGGGTGAGAGTTAACATTAATTTTCATAATTGTCATGATGGGTTTTGCAGGTGTACACATCAAAAGTTGTTAAATTCTATACTTTCTAAATTAATGTGTAGTTTGTTACATGTCTACTTTACCTCTATAAAGCTGCTTTTAAAAAAAGAAAAAGAAAAGAAATGCATCCAGATTGGAAAGGAAAAAGCAGATCTGTCCTTATTCCCATACTACATGTTCATCTCTGTAGAAAATCTGATGGAATCTATTAAAAAAAAACAAAACCTGTTAGAACTAACAAGTGAGCAGGTGAGTTTAGCAAAACTGCAGGATACAAGGTCAATATACAAAAATCAATTGTTATTATCAACAACCTCAGATATGTAGATCATACCACTCTAATGGCAGAAAGCAAAGAGAAGCTAAAAAGCCTCTTGATGAGGATGATAGAGGAGAGTGGAAAGCTAGCTTGAAACTCAACATTCAAAAAACTAAGATCTTGGCATGTGGTCCCACCATCTCATGGCAAAAAGGAGGGGAAAAAGTGGAAGCAGTGACAGACTTTATTTTCTGTGTACAGATTGGCAATCTGTACACAGAAATAATGAACTTCATTCCACATACAAACATTAACTGCAATGGACCATAGACAAAGCTAAAAGGGCTGAAACTATAAAACATTTAGAAAAAAAAATACAACTTTTATGGCCTTGGATTAGGTAAGGCTTTCTTAGATACAACACCAAAAGCCGTATCCAGAAAAGAGAAATTCATAAATTGGATTTAATCAAAACGAGTAACTTCTGCTCTGTTAACGACAGTTAGGAGAATAAAAAAGACAAATCAGCCAGGAAAAAATGATTTCCAAGTCACATATCTGATAAAGGAGCTGCATATAAAACCCAATTGTATGAAAACACACACATATTATTTATATGTTGCTGTTCAGTCCCCCAGTCATGTCCAACTCTTTGTGACCCCAAGGACTGCAGCACACCAGGCCTCCCTGTCCCTCACCATCTCCCAAAGTTTGCCCAAGTTCATGTCCATTGCCTTGGTGGTGCCATCCTGCCATCTCATCCTCTGACACCCTCTTCCTTCTGCCCTCAGTCTTTCCCAGGATTGAGGACTTTTCTAATGAGTCAGCTTTTCACATCAGATGACCAAAACACTGGAGTTTCAACTTCAGCATCAGTCCTTCCAATGAGTATTCAGGGTTGATTTCCCTTAAGATTGATGGTTTTGATCTCCTTGCAGTCCAAGAGACTCTCAGGAGTCTTCTCCAGTAGCACAGTTTGAAGGTATCAATTTTATATATAGGGTTAGCCAGAAAGCTCATTCAGGTTTTTTTTTTAAATTCAGGTTTTGCAGTAAAATCTTACAGAAAAACCTTTGGCCAACCCAATACATATATGTATGATCTGAACACACTTGACTTCATTAAAGAAGATATAGAGATGGCAAAAAAAAGTTTATGAAAAATGTTCCTCATTCATCATCAGAGAAATGTCCATTAAAATCACAGTAAAAGAAAATTCCCTGATGGCCCAGTGGCTGGGACTCTGCACTTTCACTGCCAAGGGTGCTGGTTCAATCCCTATCGGGGAACTAAGATCCCACCAACCATGTGGTGAGGCCAAAAAATAAATTAATTAAAATTAAAAAGAAATCATTTTCAAGTATATAATAACACCACAGTAAGATACTGTTATATATCCATTAGAATTTAAAGGGTCAATAATACCAAATGATGGTGAGGATATGAAGCAACCGAAACTCTGTGATAACCTAGAGGGTAGGAGATGGGAGAGAGGTTCATGAGGGAGGGGGCAAGCGTATACCTATAGTTGATTCATGTTGGCGTGTGGCAGGAACCGACACAATACTGGAAAGCAATTATCCTTCAATTAAACATAAATAAATTTAAAAACAATTGTTTTAAGAAATTCTCATATGCTTGTGTGTGGGGGGGGGTTGTAGTATTACATAACCACTCTGAAAAACTGTTAGGCATTTCCTACCAGATAACCCAGCCTTTTCAGGAGAAATGAAAGAGTGTCCACACAAAGATTCGCAGGACTGGTACAGCAGGTTTATTTGTCATAGCTAAGAATTCAAATGTCCATCAACAGAGGAAAGGATAAGCAAATTGAGGTGTGCCCGCACCATAGCAGAAAGAATGAATTGGATACACAGATCTGCCTTGAGGATTTGCAAAATAATGAGAGGCCAGATGAAAAGGAGTCATTATGTAGTTTCCTTTATATGAAATTCTGGAAAATGCACAGTAGTCTATAGGGACAGAAAGGTGTGTCTGCCTTCTGTGGCAGGGGTGGGGAAGGTGGGGTGGGTCACACAAGGGCAAGAGGAAGCTTTGAGGGTGACAGATTTGTTATCCTGACTGTGGTGATAGCTTCATGGAGGTACACAAATGTTAACATTTATCCAACAGCACACTTTGAATCCGTGTAGCTTGTTGTTGCTGGCTTTTAGTCGCTAAGTCATGTCCGACTCTTTGGGACCCCATGGACTGTAGCCCACCAGGTTCTTCTGTCTACAGAATTCTCCAGGCAAGAATGCTGGAGTGGGTTGCCATTTCCTTCTCCGGGGGATCTTCCCGACGCAGGGATCGAACCCTCAATTATATGTCAATTACTCCTGAAGCTGTTTTAAAAATAAAAACAATGAAGCCACAGGGAGATCTCGTTTCTCACCATCAGATGGTGATAAGGCCAGCGATGCTCTGCGGAGGGAGGGAGTGGACTGTGTGCACCGCGCCCGCCCACGCCTTGGGGTGGAGCTTTCTTAAGGCGGGGAACGAGCCGGAACGGGCGAGGAGGCATATCACCCCTAAGAGGGCGGAAACTGATCCTTGGGGTGCCAACAAACCTTGGACATCAATGATTGTGGCCTTCCAAAGCTTAACCTGACTCAGTAAGGTCTTCTAAAAGATTTCCCTTCACAGTGTCACAGTTGGGGAGTGGGGTGGGGGCGGGGGGCGGTTAGCGAGAAACACCGCTGTAGAGAGTAGAAGAGGCTAGAACCCAAAACGAAGGACGATCGGACAGTATCTACCCAGAGGCAGACTCAGCATCGGACCTTGCAGATTCACTGCGGAGCATCTGCAGGGCAGAGGAAGCTACACACAAGTAGAATGACTGGTAGGCTTTGTATGTGAGAGCAAAATACCGGTAACAACCCAAGGGTTCATCTGTGGCAGGGTTGGCGGGGGTGTGCTGATTAAATTGACTTTGGTGAGTCCAATAACGCGTACTATACAACCATTAAAAAAAAATGCTGTTGGAATTTAAGAGTCATGTTTCAAGCAAAGTACAGAACAGTACAAGTAATATTCTACCCATTGTGTGAGAAAAGAGGGTGGAAAGGACATATAATCATATTCATTTACATTTACATTTTTTAAAAAACCTAAAAGGCAGCAGAAGAAGTAAATAAAAAGGTTGTGAATAAAGAGCAGGGAGCAGTATTGGCAGTGACCAGGGGGCTTGACATGCAGTTTATCTCCCGAAGAGTCATTTTTGTTTTTGAACCAGGTCATGTGCAATGTGTTAGTCGCTCAGCCGTGTCCGACTCTTTGCCACCCTATGGACTGCAGCCCGCCAGGCTTCCTTGTCTGCGGGATTCTCCAGGCAAGAATACTGGAGTGGGTTGCCATCTCCTTCTCCAAATGTATAATATGACATTAAATAAATATGTAAATAACCCAGAATAACATGTCTCTTTTTAAATCTTGGAGAGGAGAAAAGCCTAAGTTTGACAAAAGATTTTCTTAATAGTCCTAAATGGAGGCAAATAAATATGACCCAACGAAGTGCTATGCATGGTTAAAAAGAACCACAGAAAAAGTCAAAAGAAACCAAAACAGGGAAAAAATGTTTACAACTCATGTCACAGAAAAACCTTAAGTCCCTTAATAATACCTCCTATGACTTAATAAATATGAACAATTGTTGAATTTTTCTTAAGGGCAAAGTGTGTGAGATGACAGTGCATGTTGAAAGGCATCCAACCTCATGATAGGAAGGGTGGGCAGATAGAGACTGTTTGAGACTCCAGTTCTCACCCACCGGGCAAGCAATGGGTTATTGGCCGTGCCCTGGTGATAAGGTGTGTGCAGGACCAGGTGAGCAGGAACAATGGCCGTGACCAGAGCAGGGGTGCGGCAGAAAGTGACGTCTGTGCATCACCCACGTTCTTGCGACTTGTCTGCCTCCAGCGCCCCTCCCTTTTTGTCTGAGCATCCCTTTAGAGAAAATCTTGGAAAAGAAAATCCTCTATACCTGAGCCCTCCAACCCTTCTCCAGAGCCTTCTTAACCCTCACTAGCCAGCCTCTCACCCTGCGCCTCGCTGCAGCTTCCCTACGCAGAGCCTCCAAGCGTCTCAGCACCCGAATCCGAGGTCTTTGTCCTTGTCTCAGTTAGCGCAGCAGCTGCAGTTGAACTCTTTGGGTTATTTCCCTTGGCTCTTCCTCCTGATGTAGCACGAGAACTGGAGGCTCCAGGCATGGTCCTGGGCCCCCTCCTGCACCCGCACTCACCACCCGGGGGCTCCTAGCTTGTACTGGAGCATCAGATACCGTATCTATGCTGCTGACCCTCTGGTCACATCTGCAGCCTTCACCTCTTGTGGACCTGCAGACCAGGAAACTGGAATGGTCATCCCCACGGAGGTCACATCAGTTTTATCATGGCCAAACAGGATGTAGGTCACCACGACCACACCTCCAAGTGGGCCCTCTTCCTGTCTGAGGATAGGGCATCACCATGCACCTAAAGGTCCAAGGCTGAGACTTCCCTGGTGGTCTAGGGGTTAAAAATCCACTTTCTGATGCAGGGGACGGGGGTTCAATCCATGGCTGCAGAACTAAGGTCCCAGAGGACATCATTGCTGTTTAGTCGCTAAGTTGTGTCTGACTCTCCTGCAACCCCATGGACCGTAGCCCTCCAGGCTCCTCTGTTCATGGGATTTCCCAGGCAAGAATACTGGAGTGGATTGCCATTTCCTTCTGCAAGGGGTCTTCCCGATCGAGGGATTAAACCCACATCTCCTGCATTGGCAGGAAGATTCTTTACCACTGAGCCCCAGGGAAGCACAAGACCCCACATGCTACAGGGCAGTTAAACCCATGAGTCCCAGCTAGAGAGAAGCCTGTGCATCACAACAAAAGATCCTGCAGGCCACAAGGAAGACCCTGTGTGTCACAACTAAGACTCAACACAGCCAAAAATAAATAAATAAACATAAAAAAAAAAAATCTGAGGCTGCAAATTCCCCAACAATCCAGTGGTTAAGACTTGGAGCTATCACTGCTGGCGCCAAGTACGAGCCCTGGTTGGCGGCCCTAAAACAAAAAAACTCTGAGGCATCTTTAACACTTCCTTTCCCTGAATTCAGCTCACCATCACACTGTGTCAGCTCCAACTTCAAGATGTATTCCTGGTCACGAGGGAAAAGGTACGGCAGTTCTTCAAAAAAATCAAACATAATTCTTTATCATCCAGCAATTCTGCTCAGGGGCATATACCCAAAAAGAGGTGAAAGTAGAGACTCAAACATATATTTGGATGCCAGTGTTCACAGCAGAATTATTCACAAGAGCCAAAAAGAAGAAGCACCCCAACATCCATTGATGGATGATGGATAAAGAAATTGTGGGGCATCATTACTGTGGAGTGTGAGTCAGCCTTAAAAAGGCTTGTCGTGAGATGCAACAGGGTCTTCCCTGGTGCCTCAGATGGTAAAGAATCTGCCCGCAATGCAGGGGACCCAGGTTCGATCCCAGGGTTGGGAAGATGCCCTGGAGATGGAAATGGCAACCCACTCCAGTATTCTTGCCTGGAAAATTCCTTGGACAGAGGAGCCTGATGGGCTATAGTGTGGGGTGGCAAAGAGTCGGACACGACTGAGCATCTAACACTTCGCCTTTCGTGAGACACAACATGGATGGACTTCAAGGGCATCATGCCAAGGGGAGTAAGCCAGTCACCATGGGCAAATCCTGTAGTTTTCCACTTCTCTGAGGTCCCCAGAGGAGTCAAATCCTTAGAGACAGAAAGTAGATGGTGGGGGTCAGGGGCTGGGGCTGGGATGGAGCACAGAGTTTCCACTTGGGAAGATGAAACGTTCTGGAGACGGTGGTGATAGCTGCATAATGTACTTAACGCCGCTCGGCCCGGGTGGGCTGACGGGAGAGTGGGCTGAAGGTGGGCTCCACCCAGCAAAGCCACACCCCCACCTGAGGACCCCCGTTGGCAGCTCCCCAGCCCCATGCAGGATGGCGGGGGGCATCAGTACACGTGTCCTGACTCTCCTCTCGCCCCCTCGATGGCGTTCGGCACACACATCTGGATGGAGTCTTCTTGGCCCACACCGCATACAGCACAGCTGCCCCGTGGCTCAGATCTGGAGGCTGGTCTGGGTTCCCGGCGCTTCCCAGCTGACTTCTGAGCCCCTCGACTCCTCACCCACCTCTGAAACGGAGTTGGGCTGCACAGGTGAACCTCAAAAGACTGTTTGGAGGCAAAGTGCAAGGAGCTGTCCTGTACTCCCCCAAAGGCGTAGGGATAGCGGCTCAGGATGGTAAGTGAGCCCCGGGAGGGCAGGAGCAGCGAGGTGAGCTGGACCAGGGAGAGGAGGGAGAGACAGGATGATGAAAGAGATCACGGAAAACTCCTGGCGTTGGAGGATCCGGGGAGACTGGAAGCTGGGCCGCCAGGCCCCAGGGTTGGATTGGAATTGGCACTTGGACACGACAAGCAAGGTGCCATGGTGTTTGTCCTGGGTCACATGTCCAGGGAGGGAGAGGGTGTGGGGATGGAGCAGGGAAGGGGTCGCGAAGGCTGCACTTCCCTGACAGCCTCTTGAAATCTGTGTGCCCTGACACCGCCAAACCACATCCAAAGGTCCCGGGGCTGCTGCTGACAGGTCGAGTGAAATGAACAGAGAACACTTTATCAACCACTAACCAAGGAAGTGACTTAAGCCAGGGATTTTTAATTTCAAATATTCAAAGCAAGATCAAACCAGTCAATCCTAAAGGAAAGCAATCCTGAATGTTCATTGGAAGGACTGATGCTCCAATACTTTGGAGCCGACTCATTGGAAAAGACCTCGATGCTAGGCAAGATTGAGGACAAGAGGAGAAGGGGACGACAGAGGATGAGATGGTTGGATGGCATCACCGACTCGATGGACAGAGTTTGAGCAAGCTCCAGGAGGTGGTGAGGGACAGGGAGGCCTGGCAGGCTGCCATCCATGGGATCAAGAAGTAGAAACGACTTAGTGACTGAACAACGACAACAATTCAAAGGGCCTCGGGTGTCTCCTAGGCCACCCTGAACTTCCTCCTTGGAAACAGTGCTCCTCTTTTCTTAGTGCTCAGGGGAGGGGAGGAAACAGAGGACTCTGCAGAGGAGAGTGTGGGCGTCATCATCCCACAGGAATTCACTACAGGAGCCCCAACCAGGGAGGAACTTTGCATAGAAGGGACAGCTTTGCCCAAAGTCATGTAGAACTCACGGCAATGTCAGGGCTCAGATCCAGGCCAGGGTGACCGCCTGCCTGGCTTGCATGAGACCAATGGAGTCCCTGTTTAGGACTAAATGCCTAAACCAGGAGTGAAAGAAAGTGAAAGTGTTAGTCACTCTGTTGTGTCCGACTCTTTGGGACCCCATGGACTGTAGCCCGCCAGGCTCCTCCATCCATGGGCTTTTCCAGGCAAGGGTACTGGAGCGGGTTGCCATTTCCTTCTCCAGGGGATGCTCCTGACCCAGGAATAGAGCCCGGGCCTCCCACGTTGAGGGCAGACTCTTTACTGTCTGAACCACTAGGGAACCCAAGGAGAGTAGGCGATGCCCCAGGTCTCATTAGGTAAGAAGGGGATTCAGAGGACACCCCGATGCTCTTCTGGCAATAGCCTCCCAGTAAATGTCTCCAGGGTGGGTTTCATTTCTAGAAGCGTTCTTAGTTGCAGGTTAATCAACATGGAAGGATCCTCTTCTAAGTCAGAAGAAACAGGCCCTAACTCTGGCCTTTAACTTGGAAGAGTGTCCAGATAGTCTTATCTACTTGCTGTGCCCTCGAGGGAAAACAGAATTTGGGCAGCAGCCCAGGGGCACACGGACCAGGCACCGACCCTAACGATTTGTTATGGGCAGAGACGCAGTCTCAAATCGGGGATCCCGAGGCTGTTACAATTCCCAGGAGGGAACAAGAAGCCAGGGGGCACACTACAGCGTGTATTAGAAGGGGCGAGCAAGTGCATCAAGAAGCCAGTTAACTCTGAACAGGTTAAAGGAGCAACCCAAGAAGAAAAAAGAAAATCCAGCCTTCTTTCAGGGATGGCTTGTGGTTTCTAAAAAACCTAGTGACCTCGATCCATCCATTCCTGAGGGTCAGTCCCTGCTGGGACAACATTTAATCACCCATTCTGCCCCTGATAGCAGGCAGAAACTCCAAAAGTTACAATTCGGCCCACAGACCCCGATGCCCCAACTCCTAGAGGAGACCTCTAGGGTATTTAATAATCCAGATGAAACCGAGGAGGAAGAGAGAAACTGACGTGCAAACAGGCTGGCCAGGGCTCAAGCTAAACTGATGACCATGGCTGTTAGCTATGCCTTGCAACCTTCAGGACAACCCAAAGGGGCCACAGAAGTTTAACCATCCTCCTGGAGGTAAAACCAGCAGGAGGGAATGCTTCAAATATAAGTCAACCAGCCACTGGGCCAAAAGTGCCAAAAGGAAGCCCCTGGTCCATGCCCAGTCTGCATAAGGTCACTGGAGGTGGAACTATCCCCAGTCCCAAAGGGGAAGGGGGCTCCCACTCCCGAGACAGCTGTGCTGGATGACTAAGGCTGCTTGGGGATTCTGGTGACTCCCCCTCAATGAGCTATCTATCTCCATCAAGAAGCCCTGGGTGGTCCTTGACGTGGCAGGTAAGAAGACTGACTTTTTAAATCAATACGGGAGCCACTTACTCTGTCCTGATTTCTCCCTCTGGACCTCTTTCCTCTAAAACCTGCACAGTAACGGCTGTTGATGGAAAACCTTGAAGCTGTTACTTCCCCGGGCCTCTCACTTGCCAGTTGAACACACACCTTTGTAGCTGTGCCTGAGTTTCCTGCCCCACTACTGGGAAGTTTACTCGCTCAGTCGTGTCCGGCTCTCTGCGACCCCATGGATTGTAGCCCACCAGGCTCCTCCGTCCACGGGATTCTCCAGGCAAGCGCACTGGAGTGGGTTGCCATTTCCTTTTCCAGAGGATCTTCCCGACCCAGGGATCGAACCTGGGTCTCCCACATTGTAGGCAGACACTTTGCCGTCTGAGCCACCAGGAAAGTTCTCGCCACTGCTGGGGAGAGACCATAATATGGCTCCCTCTCAGCCACATGACAAGTAGGAGGCCCCAGGCAGCCCCTGTTCTTGACTGAATAAGAAAGATCACTCGGGAGAGCAAGGTCCTATTCCCTGAAGTCTGGGGCGAAAGAATCCTTGGGAAGTCTATAAATATTCAACCTGTAAAAATTAACCTTAAGCCAGAAGCCACTTATCCTAACAAGACATAAAGCTGGGAGCAAAGAAAGTTTGCAACCCTTCACAGATAAATTCTTAAAACGTGGCCTCTTAGTGCCCATCAGTCTCCACAGTAAACAAGTGTTAGTCTCTAAGTCGTGTCCGACTCTGCGACTCCGTGGACGGTAGCCCGCCAGGCTCCTCTGTCCATGGGGTTCTCCAGGCAAGAATGCTGGAGTGGGTAGCCACTCCCTTCTCCAGGGGATCTTCCCAACCCAGGGATCGAACTGGGGTCTCCTGCATCGCAGGCAGATTCTTCTCTGTCTGAGCCACCAGGAAAACCCCACGCAGTATCCTAATCCTGCCAGTTGTGGAGTCAATGGGGGAATGTCGAATAACACAGGGCCTTAGAACCGCACCCAAGGTGGGGGTCCCTGTGAGTCCCCTCGTGGCCAGTCCTTGTGTTAGTCCAGATTCCTGGAGAAGCCAAGCGGTTTGCTGTGCTTGCCCTCAGGAGTGCCCTCGTCTGAGTCCCATTTCTGCCTCCTCTCAGGATCTGTTTGCCTTTGAGTGAACTAACCCCCAGTGGAGTCCAATGCAACGATATGCCTGACAGCACAGCCTCAGGGTTTTCAAGGCAGCCCACACTTGTTTGCCCAGGCCCTAGGAAGAGAACTGAGGGAAACACACTTCAAAGAAGGGCTATTCTACACTATGTAGACAGCATATTAACATGCAATCCCACCATGGAGGCCTCAGGTCAGAATACCACTGAAGTCCTTAATTTCCTTGAGACCTGGGTTCACAAGTTCTCCCAGATGAAGGCACAACTCTCAAAACAACAAGTCAAATATCTGAGATATGTTATAAACCCTGGAAGTAGACGGCCATCTCCAGATTGAAAACAGGCTATTTTAGGCCTAAGCCATGTGCAGCAAAATGAAAATTCTCAATTTATCCAAGGGAACAGCAGGGCAGATTGGGAGGCGAAGAAAACAGCTCTGAGGCCCATACCAGGGAGAAACCAACACTGGGAAAGCCATTTGGCCTCAGCAGACAATCAGTCACCAATCCTGTTACTCAGTACAGGTGGGGAAATTGAAAACTGGTCTGCTTGTTTGTTCTCCCGGATCCTACAAGGTATAAAAAGCTTTCTGTCAGGAGGTTTTCATGTTTTCATAACCCTTTTCTTTTCAGTCAACGTTGATTTGTGCCATATTTCCTCTAGTGCTCCCTTGTCTTCCCAAGTGTCGAAAACCTGTGACTTTTCAGTCCAAGGAGACCTGGAACTAACAGGGCCAGATCTCCCATTCTAAAAGTAGAAAAACATGTTCAATTTTAATCCTGATATAAACAAAAATATACACCCAAGCAGAATGACTTCATGGCAGGGGTGACGTCATTCACTGACTGGTCAACAGTCAAGGGAGCCCTCTCAAAGTTCACCTCATTCCTTCCCTGTCTAGGCCCTTTAGTGACTATTGTTGTTCTTCTTTCTAGCCCTTGTTTGTTTAACCTTTTGATTAAGTTTGTGTCTACTAGGCTCCAAAGTTTGAAGTAAGGCTCATGATGACTCAAGGAGTTCAACCCTTTCCTGTGGAGGGTGGTTCAGGTCCCTACTGTCCTTGGAACAGTCAGCAAGGGACCTCTATACCTCTAGGGAAACCCAGGGTCTCAGGGAAGACACGCAGGAAGAAGTTTCAGAAGAGACCGTCAGTGCCCTACCCCTTAAAGATAAGGGTGGAGTCTCTCAGTGGGACGTGAGACAGGCTGGGACTCGGGACCCTTTTCGGCAATACTTGCACCTGGACACACCTCTCCCCCAGCAACAAAACACAAAGAAACTCTATGGCACGAAAAATAACTCCATGCATGTACAGTTGGGGTAAATTCTGGACAAAAGATAAAAAAAAAAAACACCAAACCAACCCTTAGTTATCACCTCGGAAAAGCCAGGGACAGAAGCAGGGGATTGAGAGCAAGAGCAGGGTGGCCCGCACGCGCCCTGCTCACAACAGCGCCTGAGGGGTGGGCAAAGCGCCGCTGCAGTCCCACGCCTGGACAACCCCCACTCTCACCCGCATAAGGAGCACGCCTGCCCCCCGCCCCCCAGTGAGCGAGCAAGCAGGGGAAACCTGGCTTCTCCCTGCCCTCTGCTGCGGCACAGCCCCAGTAAAACCTTGCCTGAACTGCCCCTCTGGCCTCTGGCCAGTCTCTGCTGTCGGCCTCTGGTCAGTTTCTGTTGGCTGGGAAAGGCCAAGAGCCCCGGGCCCCTGGCTCCCACGCACCGCCCTCACAAGCTCCTCTCTGCTTTGGTCATGAAGAGCAGACTCAGAGGACACGCGGTTTTAGGGAACCAGTACAAACTTGAACCAGTTGAGCCGGGAACACCCAGCATGTCCTTCCAGTCTGTTTGAGGAAAGCATTTCTTCCGGGAGCCCTGCCCTGAGACCCAGCCCGAGCCAAGTCAATCTGCCTCCCTCCGTCAATGAAAGAGAACTTCTGTGTCAACTGTCAGAAAAAAGAGCCTGCCGTGCACCCTGGTCTTCCGAGAGATGTGCGCCCCCCGGCACCCAGGGGCTCCCGTGGGCAGGCAGAGGGCTGGGTCCTGCTCCCATGACCCCCTGAAGGACGGCGGGCGTTCGTCTCCCTCCGCCGCCTCCCTGCCGGTGGTGGGTGGTGGCAGGCACCCGCTACGGCCGGTCCCCCCACTCCCGTCCCTGGAGCCAGGAGGGCGCAGAGCGAGACATCCAGGTTGGTGCCGGTCGCCTCTCCCACCCTCCCGGCTTCCTACCAGGGCCGCCTCCTCCTGCTCTGGGTTGGCGGGTGCCCGGGGGGGCAGGCGAGACTTCCTAGGTGTTTGGAAAGCCCAGGGCCCCCGGGTTCCTCCTTACCTTTCTCCACCGGTCACGTAAGGGGAGAGTCCAGGGGCTGGGGTTTGACCGCAGCCCTGGCTGGTCCCTGGGAGAAGGGGACCGCAGAGCCGCTTTTCCCATTCATGCCTCAGACTGCCGCTTGGCAGGTTCATTGCTAACGGGCCCCAGATGAGGTGCAAGAACAGTGCCTGGGCCGGCCCGGGACACACGCACAGGGGAGTCAGGTCCTGGTGTCCTGGCTCACCCCCAGGAGCGGCCCCCGGCCGCAGGGTGCCCCCCGCTCCCCGCCCCGGCTGGAGCTCGGGCCGCGCACCAGCGCCCCGCCACCCCGCCTCGCACTGCGGGCGCTCGCTGAGCTGGGCTCTGTGAGGGGGGCACACGCACGCCCCCGTGTGGGGGTCCTGAGGAGTCCAGGTGCCCGGCAGTCCACTTGCCCGCAGAGCCTGGGTTTCGCATGGGCAGTCACAGGGGCTGGGAGGGTGGGGGTGAGAGCAGGCGGTTCCCCCGAGGGAGAGGAGTGGTTGCCCGGAAGCCACAAGGTGGGGCGGGACGGGGCCAGGCTGAGCCTCCACCCCCGACCCCGGAGGCGCGGAGCACCCTAGTGGCGCGCGGCCCTTTCCTCCTCCGCCGCCCGCTCTGGTCCGCTCCCCTCTGCCTCTCCACCCCCAGCCTCACGGGTGACCTTGGTTGACGGTGGATGGGGTTCGGGGTGGGCTGGGTTCTGCCATCCAGGACGCAGCCTCTTTGCCCCTTGACCAGTTCCTCCCTCCCTTCCTCCCTCCCTGCTTCCTGCTCTGTCCCCGCCCTCACCAACCCCCCACTCCCCAGATGTCCTGGGTTCCAACTTCCCCCACTGTCACTGGGAGAGACTTTGACCCGGGAGGGGCTTTGACCAGGCAGTCTTCACGGCAGAAGGAAGTCCTGACCACCTGCTGCCTCCTCTGGGGCCCAGACAAGTGGAGGAAAGAGAGAGAGCTCCAGAGATGCGGCTACTGGGAGTGCTTCTACCTGGGGGAGACCTGGCCGTCGAATCAGAACAGCTGCCCTCAAGGGTCTGCCCTCCACCTTCCAGCACCCTGGGCACGTCCAGGCTCCTCTGTCCATGGAATTCCCCAGGCAAGAATACTGGAGTGGGTACCATTCCCTTCTCTAGGGGATCTTTCCTACCCAGGGATGGAACCCCGGTCTCCTGCGTGGCAGGTGGGTTTTTTACCGTCTGAGCCGCCAGGGAAGACCTACTTCCCTGGGAGCCATCACCATTCTTGCCGGCGACCACCCACCACACATGCAAGGCCTTCTCTGCGCCCGTCTCCTGGTTCAGGGCCACTGGCTCCAACCCCGTTGGGCACGCTGGGCCAGATGGTCAGAGCTGAGGTGCCCACAGCTCCACTCCTGGAGCCCTTGGCCCTCCCCACTCACCTCTGGGATCCATGGCTCCCGAGAGGACCTGCGAGCCAGGTGCCTGGAGGTAGAGGCTGGGGATGGGAGGCTGTGGCCCGCGCAGCAGAAGCTGGAGGCAGCTCTGACCTCAGGCTCAGGCCAGAGCTGAGGGCCTAGGGCCAGCCGCTTCCCCAGGGCCAATCCTGTCTGTCTGCTTGGGGTGGGAGGAGCCTCAGCACCTCACCTGTTTGCCCAGACCTGCCCAGGGCCGCCAGCCCGGTCAGTCCCACCACAAACCGGACTTGTTGACTCGATGCCCAAAGCCGGCTGCCCCGCACAGCTCGGGGGCAGTGTCTTGCCCACACCTCGGATCACAGAGGGGCCCAGTGGGCCGCTCTGCCTGCTTGCGGGGCCAAGCCCTGCCCCGCGCTCTGGCCCTCAAGCCCGGTGAGGGGGGCGGGTGGTAGACCCCTGCTTTCACCTCTCTCCCCCCACCCACCCCCTGGGCCGTCTCTCCCCTCTGCGGACTGCTTTCCTCAAACACCTGCCTCACCTGCCTGACCGCTGAACAGACCGGAGACCTGGACACTCGCTGGGCCCCGTCATTCTCTCTGGAGGGAAGCTTCTGGTCCCAGAGAATTCCAGCATTCGGGGGTAAAGAGGAGCTTCAGTGAAGTTGTCTCCCGTATCTTCTGGGGAGGTCCATCTGGGGAGCGGGAACCTCAGGCCGATGGGCCTCATTCAGAAGTCCAACACGGCCCAGCTCACCAGCTCAGAGAGCGGCAGAGGAGACGGCAGCCCTCTCTCTGCCCCCTCCCCCAGCTCACGCTTCCTGTGCTGGTCCCCCCCAACCCCCAGCCGAGGGAGGGGGACGAGGGAACCAGGCTGGATGGGGGGCAGCCTCCTGAGCAGGGGCTCACGGGCTCATCCTACGGCCTGGGCGCTCTCTCCTCTCGAGATTCCATCTCTGGGTGCCGGCCACTGGGGAAGGAGGAGCGGGTCCTTCCACCCGCTTCCCATGGGCAGGTCCTCGCCTTTGCCCAGCTGGGGCTGGGAGAGCCGCAGGACGAGAATGAAATCGTGCCATTCGCAGCAATGTAGATGGACCCAGAGATGATCATACTCAGTGAAGTAAGTCAGAGAAGGACAAATATCATATGATCTCACTTATATGTGGAATCTAAAAAAATGATACAGATGAACTTCTTTACAAAGCAGAAATAGACTCACAAACATAGAAAATAAATTTATGGTTACCAAAGGGGAAAGGATGGGAGAGGGATAAATTAGAAGTCTGAGACTAACATATACATACTACTGTATATAAAACAGAACCAACAAGGACTTACTGTATATCACAGGGAACTTGACTCAATATCTTGTAGTAACCTATAATAGAAAAGAATCTAACATATATATACTGAATCCTAAAGATACCTGAAACTAACACATTGTAAATCAATTATATTTCAATAAAAAAAATTTTAAAGAGTTGAATGAAAATCAACTGTCACCTTTACCTCATACCATGTACAAAAAAGTTAAATCCATTTTTAGTTAATTTTTGTGAACCTAAATATAAGAGCTTGTAAATAAATTCTCTTAGGGGAAAACAGAGGTTTCTTGACTTGGATTCAGTGATGGACTCTTAGATATGACTCCAGAAGCATAAGAAACAAAATTTTAAAAAAGTAAGTTGGGCTTTATCTGAATTTTAAACTTTTGTGCATCAAAGAACACTATTGAGAGAGGAAAATCAACCACAGGATAAAGGGGGGGATATTTGCAAATTGTATATCTGGTAAGTATCCAGCATCCAGAATGTATAAGGAAACTTTAGGATGCAACAAACAACACTCAATTTCAAAATGGACGTTTCTCAAAATACACATCGCCAATAAACACACAAAGAGACGCTTAGCCCCACTAGCCATCAAGGATACTTATACACATCAAAGTCACAATGAAACAACCCTTCACACCAAATAAAAAAAAAAAAAGGAAAATGACAAGCGATGTGAGGGTGTGGAGAAATTGGAACCCTCACGCTTTGCGTGGGAATGTAAAATGGTGCAGTTGCCATGGTGAACTGTTTGGCAGTTCCCCCAAATGTAAACATAGAATTATTCTATGACCCTGCAATTCCACTACTGGGTATAGACCAAAAGGAATTGAAAACAGATACAAAAATAAGTACACGCACCCAAACGTTCATAGCAACACTGTTCACAATAGCCAAAAGGTAGAAAGAACCCCAATGTCCATCAACAGATGAATGATTAAACACAGTGTGGTCTGTTCACACCATGGAATGTTGTTCAGCCATAAAAAAGAATGAAGTATTGATACATGCCACCTCCTGGATGGACCTCAAAATAATGTGATCAGTTAAAGAAACAAGACGCAAATGCCCAGATCACATAATTCCGTTATAAGAAGTATCCAGAAGAGGGGAATCTGTAGAGATGAACCCAGACTGGTGGTTGGCAGGGGGATGAGGAGGAGGGAGTGGGGAGTGACTGTTCGCTGGGTCCTGGACTTTTTAGGGCACGATGAAAATGTTCTGGACAAAATTCAGATGGCTCCATAGGATTGTGAATGGACTAGGCGCCACTGGATCACACACTTTAAAACTATTAATGTTGTAAGTGAACTTCCTCTTAACACTTTAAAAAATTGACTGTGTTGTATTTTCTATCACAGGTTCATGATGGATAAATAAGGATATTTGCTTTTCCAACAACCACATCTCCCAGTTCCTGTGACCGGGTACTTCTTACCAGGAGAAGTTTGGGCTTTGATGGGTCTGGCGGGGGGCGTGGGGAGAGGCAGGGGAGGGTCTCCAGTGCTCGCCAAGCCTGGGATGGCCAGACATCTGCTGGGGGCACGTGCAAGAGTACCCGTGGGGCTGGACACTGCGATCGAGGCCTGGGAACAGAGCATGGGACCCCTGCAGGCCCAGCCTGAGGTCAGGGCCGAGGACGGCCGTGTGGCCCCATTGGCCGAAGGAGCAGGGTCACCACGCCGCCAGGAGAGAGAGGAGCCGGGCGCGCTCATAGGGTAATGACTCAAATTGGGTCGAAGTTCCAAATGCTAAGCACTCAGGTGGGGCAGAGCCTGACTCAAGGGAAATTAAGGAAAAATAAAGGTGATGTTGCTCAAGCCAGGCTGGTAAGCAGCCCATCTGGCCAGGCTACAACCTCCCTACCCCTCCGGCTCTTTCCTCCAACTTCCTTCCGCCCTGCCTTACCAAAGGGGGCACCCCACGGGTCTTCTCTGCCTCTGTGCCCGGCCTGCAGGGCCCCTGCCCCGGGGCTCTGTGGCCGTGCTCTCCGCGGCTGGCCCCAGCCTTGCCCTGAGCTGGTCTGGTCAATTCAATCTCCCCGGGCTGGGGCTCCTGGCACCTTATCTCCAGATTCTCGATACCTAGGACCATTTCCTTCTCGGCCGAATAAACAACATTCTCTCCTTGCTCCCCGCACCCCTCAGCCACCCAGCACCTGTGCGGCCAGGTCACCTTAGAGGGAAAAGCTTTGAACACAGACCCACAGATCCAACGCGCCCCCTGTGTGCCCCACCCGCCCACCTTGGCTCCCCTGCTGCCTGAAGCCCACCAGAGCCAACTCCCTGTGGCCCCCCAGCAATCCTTCATCTCTCCCCAACCCCCACACCTGCCCCAGCACCCCTCCCCTCCAACTAGTTCTCAAGGCCCGGCTTAGGCACGGCCCCCCCCCAGGGTTCTCCCGGACTCCCCAGGCCTGTGAGCATCGGGCACTGCCCCAGGGAAGGCCTGCCCACACCACTGAACAGTGCTTCCTGTCCCCTGCAGAATGCGAGCCCTGAGGGCAGGCTGGCATGCATTTTGTCACTGTGTCCCCAACAAGATGTTCCATAAAGGTTCATGTACTAGGTGGCTGGGGTTGTGGCCAGCTGCGCGGCAGATGCTGTCGGAGGTACCAGGTCCGGAGGCCTGGTGAAGAAAGGAGGGTAAGGAGCCCCAGCCCTCTCTCTCCCCAGCACTGCAGTCTCCACCTAGCACAGTGGCCTCAACCCCCTCCCCCCCATCATAAGCTAGGTGCCCCCCAGATGTCTGCCTCCTCCGTCCCTGCCTCCAGGAGCGCTGTGGGTGGAATCACCCGCTTGGACCACGTGGCTTCAGCACAAGCACAGGCGCCCACCCTCCAAGGAGCCTCAGGGCCTGCTCACAGGCCTGGCCCTCATCCCTGCCCCCCCCAGTTGCCTTCATCTGTGCTGCGATCCCGTCTCCTGGTGCACCCCAGGCTCGACATGACTCCCTGTCTTGTCTCCTCCACGAGATCTGCAGGGACCCTCCACTCCAGCCAGTGACCCCTCCTCTCGCCTCCCATCTCCCACCCGAGCCTTGCTCCCTCTCCTCCCCCTGGCTGGACACAAGCTCTCCGACATCTGGTGTGTCTGCAGTGGCCCCTGCACCTAGCTATTTGTTTGATTTTTTTAAAATAAGGGAAATGCCTGTAACAGGTTCACAATGTTAAGAAGCAATAATAGTCAGATTTTGCTCCAAACTTTCTCCATCCCCAAGCTCCCCAGCCCCCAGAGGCCATTTCCATGTTGTTCCTGATCTTTCTTGAATTTGCATCCATATTTTAATAACTTGCATCTACATATTTCTTTATGAATCTATTTTTGGGTGTTTTTTATTTTCTCTTCCAGTTTTATGGAGATATAATTGACACACAGCACTGTGTAAGTCCAAGATGTGCAGCATAATGAACTGATCATCACAGTAAGTTTCCTGAACATCCATCATCTTATATAAATACAATATTATTTTTATCTATTTATTTTTTAAATGCAATATTAAAGAAGTAGAAAATATTGTTGCTTGTGATGAGAACTATTAGGGTTTACTCTTAACAATTTTCATATATAACATAAAGCCGTGTTAATTGTATTTATTATGTTGTGCATCAGATCCCCAGTATTTATCTTAGAACTGGAAGTCTGTACCTTTTCAATGCCTTCCTCCAACTCCCCCCTCCCTCCACCCTCTTCCTTCAGCAAACACAAGTCTGATCTCTTTTTCTATTAGCCTCTTTGTTTTTGACGTATAATTGACATCCAACACAATTAGTTCCTATTACACAACATAATGATTTGGAATTTCTATGCATTTCAAAATGATCGCCATAAGTACAGCATCAGTTCAGTTCATCGCTCAGTTGTGTCTGACTCTTTGAGGCTCCATGGACTGTAGCCCGCCAGGCCTCCCTGTTCATCACAAACTCCCAGAGCTTACTCAAACTCATGTCCATTGAATTGGTGATGCCATCCAACCATCTCATCCTCTATCGTCCCCTTCTCCTCCTGCCTTCAATCTTTCCCGACATCAGGGTCTTTTCTAGTGAGTCAGTTCTTTGCATCAGGTGGCCAAGGTACTGGAGTTTCAGTTTTAGCATCAGTCCTTCCAACTAATATTCAGGACTGATTTCCTTTAGGATGGACTGGTTGGATCTCCATGCAATCCAAGGGACTCTCAAGAGTCTTCTCCAACACCACAGTTAAAAGCATCAATTCTTCAGTGCTCAGCTCTCTTTATAGTACAACTCTCACATCCATACATGACTACTGGAAAAACCATAGCTTTGAGTAGACAGACCTTTGTTGGCAAAGTAATGTCTCTGCTTTTGAATATGCTGTCTAGGTTGGTCATAACTTTACTTCCAAGGAGCAAGAGTCTTTTGATTTCATGGCTGCAGTCACCATCTGCAGTGATTTTGGAGCCCCCAAAACAAAGTCTCTTACTGTTTCCCCATGTATTTGCTGTGAAGTGATGGGACCAGATGCCATGATCTTAGTTTTCTGAATGTTGAGCTTGAAGCCAACTTTTTTACTCTCCTCTCTCACTTTCATCAAGAGGCTCTTTAGTTCCTTTTCTCTTTCTGCCATAAGGGTGGTGTTATCTGCATATATGAGATTATTGATATTTCTCCCAGCAATCTGGATTCCAGCTTGTGCTTCATCCAGCCTGGCATTTCACAAGATGTACTCTGCATATAAGTTAAATAAGCAGGGTGACAATATGCAGGCTTGACGTACTCCTTTCCCAATTTGGAACCAGTCTGTTGTTCCATATCCAGTTCTAACTGTTGCTTCTTGAGGTGCATACAGATTTCTCAGGAGACAGGTCAGGTGGTCTGATATTTCCATCTCTTTCGGAATTTTCCACAGTTTGTTGTGACCCACATAGTTAAAGGCTTTAGCGTAGTCAATGAAGCAGAAATATATGTTTTTCTGAAATTCTCTTGCTTTTTCTATGATCCAATGGATGTTGACAATTTGATCTCTGGTTCCTCTGCCTTTTCTAAAACCAGCTTGAACATCTGGAACTTGTCAGTTTATGTACTGTTGAAGCCTAGCTTTGAGAATTTTGAGCATTACTTTGCTAGCGTGTGAGATGAGTGCAATTGTGTGGTAGTTTGAACATTCTTTGGCATTACCTTTCTTTGGGATTGGAATGAAAACTGACCTCTTCCATTCCTCTGGCCACTGCTGTTTTCCAAATTTGCTGGCATATTGAATGCAGCACTTTCACAGCATCCTCTTTCAGGATTTAAAATAGCTCAACTGGAAGTCCATCACCTCTGCTAGCTTTGTTCATAGTGATGCTTTCTAAGGCCCACTTGACTTCTCACTCCAGGACGTCGGCTCTAAGTGAGTGATCACACCATCGTGGTTATCTGGATCTTTTTTCTATAGTTCTTCTGGGTATTCTTGCCACCTCTTCTTAATATCTTCTGCTTCTGTTGGGTCCAAACCATTTCTGTTCTTTATTATGCCCATCTTTACATGAAAGCTTCCCTTAGTATCTCTAATTTTCTTGAAGAGATCTCTAGTCTTTCCCATTCTATTGTTTTCCTCTATTTCTCCGCATTGGTCACTGAGGAAGGCTTTCTTATCTCTCCTGGCTATTCTTTGGAACTCTGCACTCAAATGAGAATATCTTTTCTTTTCTCCTTTGCCTTTAGCTTCCCTTTTCTTCTCAGCTATTTGTACGGCCTCCTCAGACAACCATTTTGCCTTTTTTGCATTTCTTTTTCTTGGGGATGGTCTTGATCACTGACTCCTGTACAGTGTCACGAATCTCCGTTCATAGTTCTCCAGGCACTCTGTCTATTAGATCTAATCCCTTCAATCTATTTGTCACTTCCACTGTACAATCATAAGGGATTTGATTTAGGTCATACCTGAATGGTCTGGTAGTTTCCCCTACTTTCTTCAATTTAATCTGAATTTGGCAATAAGGAGTTCATGATCTGAGCCACAGTCAGCTCTCGGTCTTGTTTTTGCTGACCGCATAGAGCTTCTCCATCTTTGGCTGCAAAGAATAGAAACAATCTGATTTCAGTATTGACCATCTGGTGATGTCTATGTGTAGAGTCTTCTCTTGTGTTGTTGGAAGAGGGTGTTTGCTATGACCAGTGCGTTCTCTTGGCAAAACTCTATTGGCCTTTGCCCTGCTTCATTCCGTACTTCAAGGCCAAATTTGCCTGTTACTCCAGGTGTTTCTTGACTTCCTACTTTTGCATTCCAGTCCCCTATAATGAAAAGAACATCTTTTTTGGGTATTAGTTCTAGAAGGTCTTGTAGGTCTTCATAGAACTGTTCAACTTCAGCTTCTTCAGCATTACTCTTCGGGGCACAGACTTGGATTACTGTGATATTGAATGGTTTACCTTGGAAACAAAACAGATCACTCTGCTGTTTCTGAGATTTTTGCACCAAGTACTGCATTTCAGACTCCTGTGGACTCTGAGGGCTCCTCCACTTCTTCTAAGCAATTCCTGCCCACAGTAGTAGATACAACAGTTATCTGAGTTAAATTCACCCATTCCAGTCCATTTTAGTTTGCTGATTCCTAAAATGTCGACATTCACTCTTGCCATCTCCTGTTTGACCACTTCCAATTTACCTTGATTCATGGACCTAACATTCCAGGTTCCTATGCAATATTGCTCTTTACAGCATCAGACTTTACTTCCATCACCAGTCACATCCATAGCTGGGTGTTGTTTTTGCTTTGGC